GTTACTTTCGTTAAGTTACGTTACTCTTTCTTACGTTAGGAGTTTTAAACTTAAAAACGTAACAATACAACTACCTACAACTAGTCAGAACTAGTCTCTCTCTCTCTCTCTCTCTCTCTCTCTCTCTCTCACACACACACACACACACACACACATACACAAACAACACAGACCGAAATACAAAGTAGAAACCCAAAGAAATCAACACCACAAAACAAAATCAATCTCTCTCTAAGGCTGAAATGTGAATTATGCCCCTGCATGAAACAAAATTAAGAGGGTGCACGTTATAGGTTGTGTTTTATTTACACCCCATTGGAGAGAGAGGGAACGTGTTTGTTTTTTTTTCTGTGGGAGGGTGGACATGCGACCGTTGGCCTTTGAAGTTCTATTGACAGCAGGAAATCCACAGTGATTGGTTGATATGATGATTGATTTTTTCCGTGAATGGTGATCTCGATGATCTCTTTCACCATCTAACAACAACTAGATTGAGCATATACGGAATGCTTGTATGAGAATATACGGAATGCTTTTACGAGAATATCAATTACACCCCTTAAACCATGTCATGAGTTATTCATACATGCTATATCATTATATATCTGAGATTGTTTTGTTAGCAAGATGAATCATTCTCTCCAAGGGATGGTGTACAAAGTGCATGGTTGGAGGTGTTTTTTTGGTGTACTGGAAATTCTTGACTACAAATAATGACTAGAACTTACTGTTCTCCCAAGGAGCATGGTTATGCAAGAACATGAACAGCATGTGAACTGCTAGAAGATTGAGAACGATTGGAAAGGACTGACCATAGGTTGGCAACCTTCTTATTTTGTGAGAAAGAAAGAAGACCAAAGAGCAAGAGACATGGTTGTCATAAAGATAAGAAGTCCAAGGATTTATATGGCATTGTTGTCTTGGAGAGAACAATGGGAAAATTATAGAGATTTTTGGGCAGACCTTTGGCCATTTTAAATAGGCACTTGTGTAAGTGGATGAAGATTCACATTATGAGGCTTATATAAAAGGAGGACCTCGGTGTATGGGACCTAATGATGGTGCTTTCGGCGTTTGGCTAGCAGTTCTTCAAACCTCGAGAAAAGCTATGGCTCTAATAGTTTGCTCAGAACTATGTAAAAGATACAGGGATAAGATGAAGAAAAACACATATTAAATGGTAACAGTAATAATACAAGAAACCATTTTCTAAAAAAATAGGGGTGAGTATGTGATATTCCAATGGAATATGGAGTAATGTAGCCCATGGATGATCATCACCATCCAAGGACATATTGGGCGACAGGACCCACCATGGATCAAGTCTTGTTCTGGTGGGTCGTGGTCATTCATATCATGGCAAGATGATGACTGCAATTGACACTGGTTTTCAATATTCGACCAGTCATAGGATACATGTCCTTAGGTTTCTTCTATTGGCAACAGTAATTTTTTTAATATATATCCCTTCAATTAAGAAAGCTTTGGTTTTAACATTGGCCATCATAGAAGATAACAATTTTGATATAAATATTTTTATAATAAACCGCTAAAGGAAAAAGAAAACCATGAAAACTATGGGAAACAAGGCATTCTCTCCATCCATTGTGAACTTGGTTGCACTTGCAAAGTCATAATCTAATTTAATTTATTTTTGTATGGGAATTGCTCTTGTCAAAGAAAGTGTATTTGGACGCCAAAAGACTTGGTTCTCTTGCCTGATTCAGGGCTGGAGGTTTGCTGGACAAGGAAGGTGGTAAAAGGGAGCTGCTGGTTGGGAAAGATGACGAACTTCTTGCGACTGTTGAACTTCGAACGGTTCCTAGGGCTGATGTCGCAGAGGTTTGCATCCAGGTATAAATATGCGCTCTCAATCTGGCTTCTGTTGTCTGATATGGAGGGTTCGTTCACATTACTAATGTGCTAGCATAATGTGGACTGTTCATCATGAGCTTTAAGATATGGATATGATGGCTTTGATGTTCACTTGTAACTAGTGCATGTTAGTGCAACAGGGCATTGGAACATATGCGCATAGGTTTGGATGGTATGGATTTACACATGTGTATCGCGTATCCGTGTTGATGTGTGAGAGAGATTTAAGCATGTGTATCGCGTATCCCTGTTGATGAGAGAGAGAGAGAGAGAGATGTATGTACTAAGAGTTGTGTTTCTTATGTGTGGACAGGCATTACTGTTTGAGGAGGCAAAGAATAAGGCCTTTGATCTCGGATCAAAGCTAGAGGGTCAGGGTTCACCCACTACAAACTTCAAGGCATTCTTCTCGCAAATCTCGGCAAGATTTTGAGTGTGAAGAGTCTCAAGTTTATCTGAAGAGATTCTTTGTGTTCATTAATCGCATGAATGTATAAACTTGTCTTTTATAGACAAATTACAAATGAGAAAAAATAGAAATAAAACATAGACACCTAAACTAGACGCATAAATACCAAAAATGCAAGATAATGTACCTTTCCTTCCATGTATATTGATTAAAATATACTCCTATATTAACTTGGTAGACAATACATATTTTCTTTTTACAACCCCGTTCAAACTCAAGATGTTATGAGAGAGTTTGAACACCAAGTTGTGGAAACAACTAGTTGGATCTTCAGTTGCATAGTGTGATCGGTAGAAGGTGTATAACGTGACTAGTAGAAACAGTAGTCGCATGTTTAGATTGCTTGATCAACAACCATAGAAGAACAACAGAACATGGCCGGTTCAAGCGACATTAGATCAGCATACCTTAGAAACAGAATGGCTTGAATAGAGCAGGCTTGGGACACAGATAAAAAACTTTAGATCTTCTCCGGAGATAGAAAAACAGTCGAGTCAGTAGAGAAAACATAATGATACTTGGAAGAGCTAACATAACTTGGTATATATGTAGGATCACATTTTTTTGTTTTAATAACAATTGAAAGGATTTGGACTTTTCCATTGGGACAAGTACGATAATTTGAGTCCTATAATTGCAAGATCACAAAAAATATAATGGACTACTATAAAACACAATGGAACACCAACATCCAACCCTCCCACTCTCTTTTAACATACACATTTCAAATGGAAGCCACCTTTACTTTTTAGTGAGAAAAGAAAGGAAAAAAAAAGGGCAAAAAAAGAAGAAAGAGCCCCGGCCAAGAAGCTAACCGTTTGGGGTTTTTAAACGAATTGGAAAACATGGAAAAACAAAAGGAGATGAAAGAGAAAGTTCTTTCCTTACTATAATCAAGGAGCAATCAAGGTGCAGAATACGGAAGAATAGAGAAGAGAAGAATAAAAGAAGTGAGAGGTAGAGAGAAAACCAGAGCAGAAATCAGACACAGATTTGAGCTCGAAACTAGGAGCAAAGATCAACATGAAACCTCAAAATGGAGGCGAACAAACACATATATGGGAGTGCAACAAGCAAACATAGAAACAAATTTCTTTTTTTTTCAAGAGGTTTTCTTGTTGGGTTTAAGCGGTGTCCCTGGGAACGAGATCAGATTGGTTTCAGAGGCAGGGGTTCAGAGCAGATTTTCAGATGCAGGGGTCTTGGGTGGTTCAGATTTGTTTATTTATTTATAATTTTTTTATTTTTTATTTTATTTTTTCTCTTTTTACCTAGAGAAAGAGCCTGAGCCTTTACTATACAGGTTTACAGAAGTTGCCTCTGCTGGCACAACCCCACGTTTCCAATGGTGTGTTTTCCAATAGATCGTAGAACAATTGCCATGGCTCGTGGACAGAAGACAATTCATACAGAAGATGAATATATATACCAGACAATACTCCTTCCCTTTCTCTCTCTTCTTGCCTAGAGAAAGGGCCTGAGCCTTTACTATACAGGTTTACAGAAGTTGCCTCTGCTGGCACAACCCCACGTTTCCAATGGTGTGTTCTCCAATAGATCGTAGAACAATTGCCATGGCTCGAGGACAGAAGACAATTCATACAGAAGATGAATTTATATACCAGACAGTACTCGTTCCTTCTCTCTCTCTTCTTGATCTTCTTTATAAATCAGTGAAACACCACAACACAAAGAGACAAAATCTTGGACCAGCTTTGCCTTTCATTAAAAAACAATCTCCATAACAATACATTCCAAGAATATGTTGGCCAAGTCAAACACCAATACAAACGGGAGAGAAAGACCCATAAAGATAAAACAGCAGAGAGAGACCCAAAAAGAACGAAATAGAAGTTTTTTTCTATTTCTTTCTATATTTGCTTAAAATTGTACTTATGAGCTTGGCTTCTTTTATTAATAAAAGTAATAGTTAACATCCAAAAAAAGAAAAAAAGGTCCTCACCGACTTGTTGAAGCTTTCAATTGTATAAGCTTCAATCCGATGGCTTTAACTGGTTGAGATATCAATAAATTGATTTTCGGAAAATTACAAAAAAAACTCCAAGACCAAACTTATAATCCAATTTACCTCCAACTAATTTTTTCTTCTCACTTTTTCCCCAAAGCAATGTTTCTTAACAAATACCCCCAATCACCTCAAAAATTAAAAAAAAGTCAAAACTACCTTACTTTACCCCTTACCATGCCTTCTCTTCTCCCATACTTTATCCTTTACCCACGCTTCTATCTCTTTCCTCTTTCCCACAAGACCTAATTTTTTACTGCAAGAGGACCTGCAGTCCATAGACGCACTCACTGCTCGAGCTCCATCCGTCTTTCTTACGCTCTCTCCCTCTCCCTCTTCGAAGGATTTTTTGGCCTGCATTCAACCTTCTCTCTCTCTTCTACTGACTCCTTGAATCCAAGGCCCGATCTCTCTCTGTAAAACAACAATCAATTTTTTCGACCCAACCCAAGCCACTTGAAAACAGTGTCACACCACCTAAAAGCAACATGTAACTCCAGATCTCCTTATTATTAACTAATATGTAATACCACCCTAAATCAAAAAAAGAAAGAGAAAAAGAAAAATTCTCCTTATTATTAACTAATATGTAATACCTCCCTAGATCAAAAAAAGAAAAAGAAAAAAATTGATAGCTCTGGTAATGGATCAAGCGCTCCGGCATTGTATAAGTACGCTCTGGCAATGGATTAGGCTCTCCGGCAATGGATTAGTACGCTCTGGTAGTAGAACACTCTGGAGTCACAACGCTCCGGCACTGTGTATGTACGCTCTGGCAGTGGATCAGATGCTCCGGCACGGCGTAAGTGCGCTTCGGCAGTGGAACACTGTGGAGTCACAGTGCGCAGGCACTGTGTAAATGCGGTTCAACAGTGGAGCATTCTAGAATCACAGTGCTCTGGCACTGTGTAAGTGCGGTTCGACAGTGGAATACTCTAGAGTCCCAAAGTTCCAGCACTATGTATGTGCGCTCCGACAATGGATCAGGTGCTCCGGTACTGAGTTAGTGCGCTCTGGCAGTGGAACACTCTGGAATCATAACGTTTCGACACTATGTAAGTACAGTCCGACAATGGAACACTTTGGAGTCCTAGGGCTCTGGCAATATATAAGTGCGGTCCAACAGTGGATGATGCGCTCTGGCACTGTGTAAGTACGCTCCAGTAGTAGAACACTCTGGAGTCACAACGCTTTGGCACTGTGTATGTGCACTCCGGCACTGCGATGGTTTGCTCCGGCAATGTGCTACGAAAGTTAATGTGAAATTTGGCCAAATTAATTTTGTGTATAGGAAGAGCATTTCCGTCTAAAAAAAATGAATTTTTTCCCTTAGGGGTATTTGCATAGAAAATTTGTTTTTGAGAAAAAAGTAAGAGAAAAAGTTAGATTTGAAGTAAGTTGCATAGAAAGTGTAGTCTTTAGGAGTTTTTGTAATTTTCCCCCATTGGAGACATTGGTGACGTTGAATTGCCATGGCTATTTTGGTTAATACATTACCGACATTCCGATTTTCCAAGACACTTAGAACCTTATGCTTATGCCGCCATCATTTAAGATTTAACATCATCACACTAATCTAGCTTTCAGAATGCTACCTTTCATTTTAAGTGCGTTCCCAATAGCAATCTTGTCATATAATCAGGTTTAACACTCCAAAATTACTGGTTGTTGTATTGACTCTCTTAATATGGTAAAAGGTCAACAAACCTCAATTGAAGTTGGTAAAGAGGTTTAGGAAGATAAAAGTTTGAAATCTGGAGGCACAAATGAACTAGCTTTCTTCAAAAATGCTAAAAAGCCCCTGACTCGGCAAAATCTGACATTTAATCGGTCATGATGAGTACACCTTCAAAATACACTTAGATTAGAAAAACTCTTTTCGAGTACCTAAGTTGCACACTCAAATAACTCATACAAAACCACAACTTAAGAAATTAATTCTTCTTCCAATTAGTAATAATGCTTAAAAAACTTTGATTGAGCATAAAATTCAGGAATATATTTACTCGTATCCATCAATAGATGATGCAAGAAAAGATCCAAAATATCCCCACACAAAATAAATATGCTGCAAAATATTATAGCTCCTTCCAAAATCAATATGTACTAGATGATCGCTGAAACCCAATAAACATTGGAAACATCCATTTGATTTTGTATCAAACAAAATGAAAAACCAAAACTCTTTGGTTGACATCAATAATGGCCTCTATGGCATGAGATATGTATCATGATGGGCACAAGATATGAAGGGGTTCATCAACGTGGGGCATCATAATGAACTTATGAATCAAAGAGATATATCGTCCTGCATCTAGAGAGAGAGAGAGAGAGAGAGAGAGAGAGAGATTTTAAAAAATTATGATGTCTAAATAACAGATAGGACGTTGACGGTTTCTAAAGGAGACATGGGATGACATGTATTGGATAGCCATAATGAGGCATGTAATTTATTGTATACTATGAAGCGATTTATCTTTGTTACGAGGAGATCACAATTATTTCTAGTAATTAAATGTCAAATTAGATAGGCTTGGGATGTGTCATAAAGTTTGAGATGTTTTTTTAGACTTTAAGTCTAGATAGAGAATGATTATCTTATAACTACTTGATTTAAAATCTAATGAAGAACAATATTTATGACCTCTTTGTACTAAAAGTAAATGATATTTGTATTCTTCTCTTTTATTATATCCTTCCCCCATAAAAACGAGGTGTTCAGCTAAAATATAACAGCCCTTTAAGAGACCCCAATCATCTTCATACAAAAGCTAAGAAGAAAGTAAACATAAGAGTGGGGGGAATCATTTGCTACACCTGAGGGTCTACACAAGCAAGCTGGTCTCTTGACCTTAAAAAATATGATCCTCACTCTTACAAAAGAGTACATAAAAAATATAAAAAATATAGTTCATATGTAGAGTGCTTTGAAACACAAGCAAAAAGTTAACATCTCTCTCTCACTCTCTTTGTGTGAGAATGTGGAAACTACCTTATTAGCTCCAGGACAACTAGGATTCAAGTTAGGCCTAAAATAAGAAACCATATTTCGTATTAGCATTCGTCTTTGATATATATTCTACTAACTTCATGGGGCTAGATACTTTAAATTGTGCTAAGAACTAATGTCTAAAAAATCATCAGGTCGGATCGGAGTCGTCCCAGCTGACCTAGGAATCATATGGGAACGTCCTGGTTCCCTGACGATATTGGAAACTAGGCGGTTCCCGCTGGAACTGACGTTATGTCAGCAAACTGAGCGATCCAGACCCACTAGATCGCCCTGTTCCCACTTTTTATTTATGTTTTACTTTTCAATTTCTACTTTTGCATCTAACTTTTGAATTTTTTTATTAAGCATTCTCTCAGCCCACTGAATCTCAACCGGTTTCTTAGATGGCCAGTTCACCCAACCTATTCGAGTTTTTAAACATTGCCCACCTTAACAACTTGTTTGCACACTGCTCCCAAGCTTGCTTTTGGCACTGCTGAAGACGCCTTTCTGGAGACCCTGTTAAAAACCCAACACTAAGTGTCCACAAGCAATCAAACCTTGGACATGTTGCAAGTGAGATAGAAAACTGAAAATACCAGCTTTCATCCTACTTGCAAAACGTGTTTGTTGGTCCCCAACACGGACCAACAAACTTGAAGGATCATGATTCACATTCAGCAACCAAATTCCGAACCATGTTGTAGCTTCTGTTTTCTCAAATTTGGAGTTCATTTCAATGTTTTCTTACATTCCTTGGCCCTAGGCCAAAGCAGTTTACTCAATCAAGAACGTTCAGGCCCAAAAGGCCTTCAAAAATTAAAAGAAAACTTAAAAATATTAAAAATAAAAATAAAAACTTAAATGTGAACCATAGCTAAAAACTAGCAAAATGAATCCAAATATGCTGGCAAAAATGTAAAAAGCATTGTTTTAGAGATGCGGCTTGTACAGTATAAGGTAGGCAGGTACCTTATACAAACCTCACCCTTTAGCCAATATTGATTTACGAGCAGAGATATTTCAGAAAAAATAATAAAAGAAATACAAAAATATTAAAAGATAGCATTTGACACTAAAACTCACAAATCAGTGTAAAACACATCCAAATTATATATATAATTTTCATACATACTTCATACAAGTTCTTTTCTTCTTCTTACAAGTAATACCTGAGTTGTACTAGGGTATTCTGCAGTTTCTTTTCTTTAGTAATACCTGAGTTGTACAAGGGTATTCGGCTCCTCCAAGGGCCAAGTCCGGGTGGACTCCACTCGGACTCGGTGGAGTAGATGGTTTTTGTTATTTCATCAATTACAAAGCTATATATCTATGGTTTGAAGCTTCAACAAAAGTTCAGTTTCCATCCGAAAAATTCTGCAGCAAAGGGAAGTACTTTATGGAAGTTAGCACAGATGCTTGAAGTTTGCATTTGTGCCTGAAATTTGTCGCTTTTTTTCGCTGAACGCCAGCTAAAGTCTACCCAATTTTAGCTGCTGTTCATTCTTGTTTCACTAAGACTTTTTCCTTTAATGTGTGTGTATGTGTGTGGTTGTTAGTCCCTCATCAAGAAAAGAATCCAATCATATGAAATGAAAGCCAACATAGGTATAGTATAAGTACATGTTATAACAATGTTCTTTTGAAAAGACAAACTAATGCATGATTGCAGGTTATTGGAAAGAAGAAAAATCCATGATACATGTTATAAGTTATAACAATGTTCTTTTGAAGGTTCCAGATCAAAGAATATACAATCACTTCTCTTACCATTCCTTAGTTTCATCATGTCTTTTCCCCATCTTGGTACAAAATAAATGGAAGTTAGAATGCATATCAGGTGAAACAAAGACAGACAAAAAGATTTAATATTTAGGAAAGTTTTCAATTAATGAAAGAACACCACATTTGTATCTCGAAGCTGCCAGCTGCTATTCAAAAGTAAATAACCATCCGTGTCAAGCCATTAATATAATCGGCATAAATAGTCATATATATGCAATATAATGACCTTCATCCCATTAAAATAAAAGGATCTATATCCAAGCAACAAGAATAGTAAGTTTAATACTACAAGAGACTGACTGTATGACTTTGGAGATTTATACCATTCAGTACTTAAAAACAGAGATAGGTTGGACGAACTGGTCACCCACTGGTTCAAAGTTTGATTGGCTGACTCGGTCAATTTTTTTAATGTAAAATTTAAATTTTTTAATTTTTTGTCGTTGAAAAGTTTAACAAGGCGTTATGATTCTCAAAATCAATCCAAACCAATGTTTCTATTATGTTAAAAATCATAAAAATATGATTTTTGGAGGAATTCGTCTAAGTCCTTATTTACTGAGGGACTTAGACCGCTCATCGACCTTTTCTTGTTCAATTGGGAAAACCAGCTGCTGTGGTCTGATTTTTGAAATTCTGACAATATTAAAAGAGAATAATACCACATTTTAGGTGTGGCATGTAGCATCTTGATGTTATTTTCAAACTGAATGGTAATGGATCACAAGACCATGCCACAATTCAACAGCTTGGTTGGTCAATATCATATATAATTATCCAATTTATAGATTAACATCTAAAATACTGACTCTCCTATCCACAATTGTAAAATAAAACACCGTACTCTACAAATTATGGACACATGTTATCCAAGATAACTGTCTGTATTTCAACAAGTTCTCAGAATAAATGATTATGCAGGTCTGTCTGCAATGTCGCTTTGATTCCATACTGTTTATATTTATATTGCTAATTTATATGATGATTGATGTGAAAGGAGGCAATAGAGAGATGGGAATTACGAGATGATTGATGTGAAAGGAGACGAGAGAGAGATGGGAATTAAGAGAGAGGAGAGAGAGAGTGTCTGATCGATGTGAAGGAGTTAATTGTGTGTCGGGCTTGGTGTGAAACCCTATACACACTGCAGGGAGAGTGAGGCTCCTGAAGTGGCCTAAGGTGTGGCCCGAAGTGTTGCGAGATGTAGGGACATCTCTCTAGGCCTTGGCATGAGGCCTTGGCGCGAGGCACAAGGAGGTATCTCTGGAGAGAGAAAAACATAAGATGAAAATACAACAACATCTACATCTCATAACACTAGGATTTAACATGGTTTAGTAATGAATCGTAACCTACATCTACGGGAGAATAATGTGAGGCTTTACTTACTGATTCAATAGAGATTATAAGAGGAAATGAGACCAAAAATACCAAGTTACGACAATATTTTCTATCTCTAAAACAGCTCCCAACACACTACAAAAGTGTGTTTCTTAGACACTTTCTCTCTCTAGAAAGCAAGGCCCAAAACGAGGCACACAATACCCAGTGAGCTCCCCTATTTATAAACCTTTAATCGCTATTCCATATAGTTCACTATGAGTCCACATGGTTCACTAACTTTAAAGAATTTCCCATGTGCATTTTTGGTGGGATAAGAAAGTCCACATGATCACTGCCTTTCCCATGTGCATTTTTGGTGGGATACGAAAGTCCACATGATCCATCATATCATGGGTGCACATAAATCAACATGGATCTACTTTAGACTATTCTACAGTTTTGGCTTCACATATGTATATACAACAATCTCCCACTTGAAGACAAATTATCGAGCTTTTGAAACAACCACCAATGCACCATTTTCCATCCTCTCGAGGCTACTTCTCCTCCAACCCCGAAAGTTTTTTACATATCTTATTCTTATCTGTTGAGAAAACTTTTGTCAACTTATCAGCAAAGTTCTTCTCAATGTGGATCTTGTCTACCTGCAGAGCTTTACGTTTGAGGGCCAATCAAATGAAATGGTATTTGACCTCTATGTGTTTTGTCTTGGAGTGATAAACTGCATTCTTAGCCAGATGAATAGCACTCTGTTTATCACAATGCACAATATATTTATCTTGTTTTGCCCCAAACTGGTCAAATAACCTCCTCAACCAAATCATTCCTTTTGCTGCCTTTGTCAGTGCCATATACTCGGCTCCAAACACATTACAAATGTGTGTTTCTTAGATACTTTCTCTCTCTAAAAAGCAAGACCCAAAAACGAGGCACACAATACCCATTGTGAGCTCCCCAATTTATAAACCTTTAATTGCCTTTCCATATAACTCTATGAGTCTACATGGTTCACCAACTTTAAAGAACTTCCCATGTGCATTTTCGGTGGGATAAGAAAGTCCACATGATCACCGCCTTTCCCATGTACACTTTTGGTAGGATAAGAAAGTCCACATGGGTGCACATAAAATTAACATGGATTTACTATAGACTACTTTACAGATTTAGCTTCACATATGTATACAATAATCTCCCACTTGAAGACAAATTACCGAGCCTTTAAAACAACCACCAATGCACTATTCTCCATCCTCTCGAGGCTACTTCTCCTCAAACCTCGAAAGTTTTCTACACATCTTATTCTTCTCTGTTGAGACAACTTTTGTCAACATATTAGCAAAGTTCTTCTTAATGTGGATCTTGTTTACCTACAGATCTTTGCGTTTGAGGGTCAATCAAATGAAATGGTATATGACGTCTATGTGTTTTGTCTTGGAGTGATAAACTGCATTTTTAGCCAGATGAATAGCACTATGGTTATCACAACGGACAATATATTTATCGTGTTTTACCCCAAACTGGTCAAATAACCTCCTCAACTAAATTATTTCCTTTGCTGCCTCTGTCAATGCCACATACTCAGCTTCAGTTGATGACAAGGCAACAATATCTTGCAACCTTGACATCCTACTGACTGCACCACCACCAACCTTGAAAATGTACCTAGTGGTAGACCTTCTAGTGCCACGACACCTTGCATGATCTACATATACATAACCAACAACTTCTAATGATGAGTTTCCATAACACAAATATACATTTCGTGTCCCCTTCAAATACCGAAGGATCCACTTAACTGATGTTCCCAACCTGAATTAGACATAAATCTGGAAAAACCTCCCACTGCATGAGCAATAACAAGTCTAGTACAAACCATCGCATACATTAATCTACCCGCTGTAGAAGTATATGAAACATTCTTCATCGTTCTTCATCTTAGTTTTATCTATCTCATTATTGGAGAGTCATTTTTAGACAACTTAAAATGTGCAACTAATGGTGTAGAAACAGGTTTACAGTTAATCATATTAATATATTTAGGTTGATTGAACCAAAGCTTCGTTTGCTTTCTATCTCTATGGATGTGCATGCCCAATATCTCCTTGGCTGGTCCAAGATATTTGGCGAGAAAATGCTTGGACATATCAAGCTTCAAACGCTTGGTTTCATTCAGATCATTGCTAGCAACAAGCATATCATCAACATAAAGCAACAAAACAGTAAAAAAATCATATGCTGAATAACCTCCACTTAGCATAAAACTCTCAAATTTCTTATACTATTGCCTAGATGCTTGCTTCAAACTATACAATCCCTTTTTTAATTGGCAAACGAAGTTAGGATTGGATGACAAAACCTTTAAGTTGACACATGTAAATATCTTCTTAAAGATCACCATGCAAGAAGGCAATTTTTATATCAAGTTGTTTTAGCTCCAAATTCAAGTTAGCAACCAAAGGTAAAACACCTCTAATAAAGCTATGCTTAACAGTAGGAGCAAAAATTTCATTAAAATCAATGCCTGATTTTTGCCCTGTAGCCTTTCAGCACAAATCTGGCCTTATATCGCATAAAACCATTTTCCCCACTTATTTGTATATACCCACCAATTCTTCAATGCTTTATTTCCATATGTTATTCTTATGCAAAGAATCAATCTCCTCTTCCATTGCCTTATGTCATTTTTCAACATTAGGGCAATAAATAAATAGCCTCTTGAAAAGACTCAAGTTCGCCACTGTCAGTATACAAAGCATAATAAGGAAGGAGATTACCTTGGTGTGGGCTTGTGAGGAAATGTGGGATCTTCTCAAGTCTTGCACATGTGCATCCGGTAGGCCTTCTTCATCTTCAATCAATCCTCATAACTAACGCCCCCTCCATCAATACCATCTTGAGCTTGAATTTGAGTTTCTTGCCTTTGCTGAGGTGAAGCAATGGGATTTTGGACTTGTATGTCCACAACAAGTCTTTCTTACTTTAGCTCTTCTTGCTTTTTTTAATAAACATCACATTCTCATTAAAGAGAATATCCCTGCTCCTGATGGTCTTCTTATCAATAAGATCTCAAAGCCTATAACCTTTATCATCACCACCATACCCAAGAAAAATACATTTTCTTGACTTGGCATCCAGCTTGGCTCAACTTTCACTTGGCACTTGAATATAAGCCTCACACCCAAATGTTCTCAAGTGTTCATATGTCACACTCTTGCCTCTCCAAATAATTTCAGGTATTTTACCATTCAAGGGTGTATTAAGAGATCTATTAATCAAATATACAGTTGTATTAGCAGCATCAGGCCAAAATTGCTTGAAGCATGCTTCTTACTCTTTCAATGATGATCCTATTCATCCTCTCAATGACCATTTTGTTGCGGTGTTCCAGGAACAGTCTTTACCCTGCAAATGTCATTTCTTTATGTAAAACATCTAAAACATTCGAGCAAAATTCATGACCATTATCAGTTTGTAGGGATTTAATAAATCTCTCTCTTTCTTTTTCAACCCTGGCTTTGAAAACTTCAAAAATTGTTGATGCCAAAGGATAAAATCAATATTTTCTAAAATAATCATCTTAAAAAGTTACAAAATAAGAAGCTCCACTAAGAGATTTAACATTAATAGGGTCACAAACATCATAATATACCAATTCTAATGCCTTACTCCTTCTATGAGATTCATTTATTTTAAAGCTGATTCTAAGCTGCTTACCAATGTCACAATGATCACAAAAAACAAGAGATAAATGCTTAGAAAATAAGAATAAGATTTTGACTTTGCAAATCCTTCATATCATGCTTACTGAGATGACTCAAGCAGCTCTGCCAAATCTGCATATCTTCATACTTGCTAGCAGTAGTAACAATCTTCTCGACAGCATCATTCCTTTGAGTCATGCAATGAAGAATGTAGAGACTCCCATCCTTTTTCCCCTTTGATATTGTCATACAACCTCTTAAAATCTTCCATGACCCATTTCCAAAGGTTACTATGAAACCAGAGTCATCTAATTGGGTAAAATGAGATTTTTCTTCAAGTCAGAATATGCTTCACCTTTTCTCAATGTGTGCTTCTCTTTCCATCTGATTGTTTGATAACAATATTTTCAATGCCCAAAATTTTGCAAATGATTATCACCAAGTTAAACAAAGCCACCATCCACATCTATGTATAATTAGAAAGTATGATCTTTTTGAGCAAACATGAAATGAAGCACCAGATTCCAAGACTCAAGTAGCTTCAGTAGACAGTGCTGTGCATGCAACACTAAAGGTGACCCCATCTTTACCATCAGATACAATATTTGCTTCGGCATGGCCATCATTGCTCTTTGCCTTTTTCTTCTTTTTCAAAACAGAACAATCTTTCCTTGTGTGACCCCAGGTTTCTTGCAATACCAGCAAGTAACCTTCATTCCTCGTGACTTGGGCCTGCCTTTGCCATGAGATTTACCTCTATTACATCCCAAGGATTGATCTCTATGTTATGTTCCTCTTCCTCTATTTCCTACTGCCAATGCTTGATTTGATTCAACAAGCATTTGTGATGCCTTTCTAGTTTATTTAACAATGAACAACATCCTTAAAAGTAAATTTGTTACCTATTGTATTTGTTATATTAGTAACTAAGGTATCCCAACTAGCAGGTAAAGAACTCAGCAAAAGCAAATATAAAATTTTTTCATCTAAATTGGCTTTCAGAGACCTCAATTGTGCAGCAATAAAATTAAATTCACTCACATCACTCTAATTGTTTCATCTTCTTTCATTTTCAAAAGAAATAACTTTTTCATTGCATGCATGTATTTGCACCAGAGAGTTGTTCAGAAGATTGCTTTAAAGATTGCCAAAGCTCTACTGATGTTTTACATTGACAAATATCAAATAAAATTGAGCATAAAATACAAAGTCTAATGGATGCCATACATTTTCGATCAAGAATATCTCATTCCCAATCTTCCATTCCAATAGGTATGACCTCTTTTTCCTCGGAGTGGCTGATCTAGTTCTTTCCAAGAAGATAATCTTCCATTATCATCTTCCATATTGGTCAATTACTTTGATTTAGTTTTTCAAATTCCATTGCCTTTTCCTTTTTTTTTTTTTAAAAAAAAAGGAAATATGAACAATAACTCTTCACAAATAAAATGAAGCAAAAAATCTAAACTCTGATACCAATTATTGTGAGTGGTGGTGAAAATACAGCAAGGGTATATCTTATTAACAACTATTGTGCATCAAAAATCATATAAATCAACAATGAAAACAATATGGAATCAAAGCAACAACAAGAAATGAAAATACAACATCGACATCACATAACACAAGGATTTAACGCGGTTCAGTCACCATTTGTGACTGAACCATATTCAGTCACATTTAGTCGCGATTTGTGATTGAACCACATTAAATCCTTATGTTATGTGATATCAATGTTGTATTTTCATTTCATATTGGTGCTTTGATGCCATATTGTTTCCATTGTTAATTTATATGATTTTGGATGCATAATAATTGTTAATAAGATATACCCTTGATGTATTTTCACCACCATCAATCACAACAACTGGTATCTGAACTTAGGTTTTTTGCTTCATTTTGTTTGTGAAGAAAGGGGTTTTGTTATTGTGCCTATGTTTTATATATTTTGTTTTAAAAAATAGAAAAGGTAACGGAATATAAAAACTAAATCAAAGTAATTAGCCAATATGAAAGATGATGTTGGGAGAGTATCTTGTTGAGAGAGAACTAGATCAGCCCACTTCGAGGAAAAGAGGTCACCTGTTGGAGTGGAAGATTGAGAATGGGATATTCTTGATAAAAAATGTATAGCAACCATTAGATCTTGTATTTTACACCCTCATTTTTTATTTTATGTTTGTCACAGTGAAACATATGCAGAGCTTTGACAATCTTTAGAGCACTCTTTTGGATAACCCTCTGGTGCAAATAAAATGTGTGCGATGGAAAAGTTATTTCTTTTGAAAATGAAAGAAGGTGCAACAATTAGAGCGCATGTGAGTCAATGTAATTCTATTGATGCACAATTGAAGTCTCTGAAAGTCAATTTAGATGAATAAGTTTTATGTTTGCTTTTGCTGAGTTCTTGACTTGCTAAGTTGGCATAGCTTGGTTACCACAATGATAAATACAATAGGTAACACATTTAATTTGAAGGATATTATTAGTTCATTGTTGAATGAAGATATTAGAAAGGCATCTACACAATGCTTGCTGAATCAAATCAAGCATTGGCAATAGGAGATGAGGAAGACCACAACATAGAGATCAACCCTCTGAATTTAATAGGGGTAAATCTCATGGCAGAGGCAAGTCCAAGTCACAAGAAAAGAAGATTACTTGCTGGTATTATAAGAAACTTGGTCACACAGGAAAAATAAGCAAAAGGCCAAGAGCAAAGATGGCCATGCCAAGGAGTATATTGTATCTGATTGTGAAGATGGGCTTACTTCTAGTGTTGCATGCACAACATTGTCTATTGAAGATACTTGAGTTTTGGACTCTAGTGCTTCATTTCATGTTTTCTTAGAAAGATCATGCTTTTCATCATAGACAGATGTGGATGGTGGCTTTGTCTATCTTGGTGATGATTGTGCTTGCAAAATTTTGGGCATTGAAAATGTTGTTATCAAACAATTGAATGGAAAGAAGCACACAATGAGAAATGTGAGGCATATTCCTGATTTGAGGAAAAATCTCATTTAAGTCGAGCAATAAGATGACTCTGGTTTCATAGTGACCTTTAGAAATGGGTCATGGAAGGTTTCAAGAGGTTTGTATGACAATATTAAAAGGGAAAAAAGGATGGAAGTCTCTACATTGTTCATGACACGGCTCAAAGGAATGATAATGCAGAGAAGATTATTGCTACAGCTAGCAAGTATGAGGATATGCAAATTTGACTTAACCGCTTGGGGCTTGGGTTATCTCAATGAGCATGGTATGAAGGTATTACAAAATCAAAATATTATTCCTATATCTAAGCATTCAAATCTTTTTTTTTGTAATCATTGTGCCATTAGTAAATACATTGATCACAAGAAGGGGCTGTCACTTGGTGTGACGGTAAAAGGCTCAGGTTGCCAGTGCAAGAGCGTGGGTTTGAGTCCTGAGAGCGGCCACTTTGTGCATAAGCCAAAGGTTAGGACTGTTTCTAGCCCACCCTTCCCTGGACCCTGCTTAGGCGGTACCAGCACCGGGTTATGGGTTGCATGCTAATGGTAAGTAATGTAAAGTCAGCTTTAAAAGAAATAAATCTTATAGAAAAGTAAGGCAGAGTTGGCATCGTCTGATGTTTGCGGCCCTATTACTGTTAAATCTCTTAGTGGAGTTTTTTTATTTTGTCACTTTTTTAAATGATTATTCTAGAAAATGTTGGTTGTATCCTTTGGCTTCGAAGGAGTTTTTAAAGTTTTTCAAGCCAACGTTGAAAAAAAATAGAGAAATTTAGTAAATGCCGATAGACTGATAATGGTAGTGAATATTACTTGAATGCTTTTGATGTTTTTTGTAGAGAGAATGACATTCGTAGTGTAAGGACTGTTCTTGTAACACCACAATAAAATGTTGTCATTGAGAGGATGAATAAGACCATCATTGAAAGAGCAAGAAGCATGCTTTCACAATAGGGTCTTGGCAAGCAATTTTAGGCTAAAGTTGCTAATACTGTTGTATATTTGATCAATAGATCTCTTAGTGCACCCTTGAATGGTGAAATACCTGAAAATATTTGGAGAGGCAAGAGTATCATACGAACACTTGAGAACATTTGGATGTGAAGCTTATGTTCAAGTGCCAAGTCAAAGTAGAGCCAAGCTGGATGCTAACTTAAGATGTTATATGATATTTTTTACTAACTTAGACCCTTGCATGAATAAGGAAGGAGCCAGTCGTGACCTGGTCCTGCCAGTACCAAAAATATCTGTGGACTACAGACGTACTGATCAAATAAAGTAGTTTTTGAAAGGTAGCAGAATGACCCCGAAACTTGTAGGATGGTGGCTTGGGGTACCCTAAGGATTCTTGCCCAATTTCAGCCCAATCCAACAAGGTTAAGACATATTAAATAAGGATATATGCAAGAAGACATAAAGAAAAAGATGAAGCACTCAAAAAAGAATAAAATAGAGAGAACAACCACCCGTGATTCAAAAATTTATAAATGGAAAATCTGCACACCAATCATTTCATAGAACTGGTTCTTTGCTGATAAATTTTTGCACAACACATTGTCAAACAAATGTGTATGAGAAGAGAGAGAGGACGATGATTATGACACACCCAATTCAAATGATTTTGATGGAGAGGGCAGGGCAAGACATAGTACGCTATGAAGGAATGTAGAGGTGAGAAAGGGGTGACATTTTTGGGGCAAGAGTAAAAAGCGCAATCTATTTTTTTACCGCTTACAATTGGTGTTGAAATTTTGATTTCGAGGTGTGGTTGCCTTATCTCCATCATCCAAACGAAGAGATAGCAAATAAGAGCTGGGAATTAGAGCATCAAGAGAGGAAGCGGTGTGACATTTTGGAGTAAGACTAAAAAGTTGAATCTCTTTTTAACCATTTGCAACTACGAAACTTAGACATGCAATTCTAGGGATCTGATTATGTGTTGACATTTGTCGAACATAGAAACATGTGTCAACACTCTTAGACACGCGTACGACACCTCTATTAAGTGTCTATGTCTGTGTCTCTTTTTTAGACACGGTTCTTTTTTTGAATGTGACGTTTCTTTGTTTAAAAACTTCATTCTTCATTGAAGAGTATTTTATTTTAAAAGAAAAATATTTAAATAAAATAAGTAGTTTGGAATAAAAGAAAAACAATATTTTTATTTATTAAATTAGGGTTTCCATAAGCTATTTGTTGCTATAAATAAAAATACAGATTTATTTCATCTACCATGAAACTTTCTAGGTTTTCCCCCTCCCCAATTGGTTTATACATCTCCAAGCTGTAGACCATTGTTTTCTCCCTCTTCAAACTGGTGGACCACTAGTTTCTCCCTCTCCAAGCCGTGGACCACTGGATATTCATCTTTATTCATCAACTTTTCTCTGTTACCTTCTAATTGTGCCTTGTGCCATATAAGATCTTTATTGTTCTCTAATATTTTTTGTCATTAATAACATGAATTGCATCATGCCTTGCCTTGTCCTAACAACTAATTTTTACTAGTTTGAAAGCTTGTACTAGTATTTTGATATTCTTTAAATCATTTTGTACTCTTTTTCCATATTGTTATGATGCAACCTTGGATTAGTCTATAAAAAATTATGATGAATAAAATTTAGATTCACAAAGTAACTCTTTTTGGACCACTAATTTAATTTTTTGTTATTTAGATACTTTAGTTTTGTTGTATGACATGGATTGTTGTATATGTAAAAGCTTGAACTAGTATTTACGTAGGTATGTAAATACTTGTATATTATACAACCAAGTCATATTTAAGAATCACATTTCTGATACTTGTATACATGTCATAAATAAACACGCGTTTGTGTCTATGTAACATAAATTTACAACAGGTGTTGTAATTTTACTTGAAGGTTTAATTGCCTAAATCTCCACCACCCGAATGAATAAGATATTGGAGAAGTTTTAGAAATAAGAACACCAAAAGTTTTCTTTAAATTATATTGTACATAATTATAGTAGACAAATATATCAATTATCTTTATGGCTTTAATATATTTTCATATTAGAATTAGCTGAGCACAATATCGCGAGCTATTACATAGACATGGACACAAGTGTCTATTTATGACATGGATACGAATGTCACAAATGTGCATCCTGAAAACATGACTTCTAGACACGACACTTTTGTACAAAATACAAGTATCTACATATATGTGTACATCTATCTATATATACACATTAAAATTTGTGTAGTTCACATCTGCATTTACATGTACAATAATTCATGTCATACAACAATAGTAAAGCATCTCAAAAATAAAAATAAATAAATTAATAGTCCAAAAAAGGTTACTTTGTGAATCTGAATTTTATTCATCAAAATTTCTTATAAACCAATCTAAGGTTGCATGATAATAATATGGAAAAAAAGGACAACATAATTTAAAGATTATCAAAATACTAGTACATGCTTTCAAAACTAATAAAAGTCAATTGCTAGGACAAGGCAAAGTATAATACAATTCATGTTATTAATGAGAAAAAAGATTAGGGAATGATAAGAATTTGACATGACACAAGGCACAAAGAGAATGGAAGAGAGACAAGTTGAATAGAGATGAATATCCAGTGGTCCACGGCTTGGAGAAGGAGAAACCAATAATCCACGGGGCCTAGAGAGGGAGAAAACACTAGTCTACGGTTTAGAGAGGGAGACACTAGTGATCCACGGGGCCTAGAGACAGAGAAAACAACAGTCTATGGCTTGGAGAGAGAGACACCAGTTGGGGAGGAAAAAACTCTAGAAAGTTTTATGGTAGTTGAATTAAATTTATAATAACAATGATTTATGGAAACCAAACCCTAATTTAACAAATAAAAATATTTTTTGTTTTGTATTTTAAACTACTTATTTTATTCTAAAGTATTCTTTAATTTTAAAATACTTTTCAATGAAGAATGAAGTTTCTAAACAAAAAAACGCCACTTTAAAAAAAAAGAAATGTGTCTAAAAAAAGGGACATGGAAGTGGATTCTTAATAGAATGTCCAAGGTGTCAACACACTTGTTCGTGTCAACACATGGTCAAATCCCCAGATATGCGTATCTATGTTTCATAGGTCATGAGTTAATTCATGTTGTCAATCCAACAACATTGTCAACTAACAAGAAACTTGGCGTGAGTGGATCTTCAACAAGAAAAACCTGGCACTCTAGATGGAGCCCATACCCCAATGAAACTAGAATCAAGAAACTCAAAATTAGAACAAAGACCAGACCTAAATCTAACAAAGCAATCAAACAAACAAATTGCACAACATTAGAATTCCAAAGGAAACCATCTTGGCATCTCAACAGGAAGAAAAATAGGAACAAACCCATATAGAAACATATTGGATTTTCTGAGAGAGATAGTGTGTGGATCATGAGAAGAATCTAAATGAGAAACTCCAGATAAACCAATTCAGATAACTAATTATAAGCTTCTCATTTGGAACAAAAACAGGATGCACCCCAGATAAACCAATCCAGAAAACTAATTATAAGCTTCTCATTTGGAACAAAAACAGAATGCACCCATACAGGAAACTAATTATAAGCTTCTCATTTGGAACAAAAACAGAATGCACCCATACAGGAAACTAATTATAAGCTTCTCATTTGGAACAAAAACAGAATGCAAGGAAGGATTGAAACACCCAGAATCTAAATAGTAACAAAAAAACAAAGGAGATAGTTAAAGTCATAGGAAAAATGATGTATATTCTGGATTTCATACAAAAACAGAAGCACAAAATAAACATGAAAAGCCATTTTCTGGATTTTCATATGAGAAGGGGATGCACTCAAATCAGACCTCAAATAGAAGCTTCATGGTAAATAAAGAAGCAAAAAAAAAATGATGCCAAAGAGAGAGAAAAACTTTCATTTCTATAAAAGACAACTTACTTAAAGGATTCCAGAAGCTTTGTGCAGTTTAAGAATCCAAGGAAAACAGGATATACTTGCCCGGCTCTGTATTGTGGAAATCCCTAACAAGAGTAATTAATGATCAATGAGTTGCTCTGGTTATGATTGCATGAAAATCCAGGAAATATAGACACTAACTTCTTGAAAGGCAAGACGGAGAGAATATCAAAATTGCCAAAAAAGTTCAAACAGAAATAAACTGATGTTGCAGAGAAGCGAGAAGCATAATGGTCTGTAAAAGGGTGTTGAGTGCTGAACCTTGTTTTCAAAAACCATCCGATTGTCCGGTTTTCGAAGTACTCTATAATTATCACCTAGACATTTCAATAACTTTAAAAAATTCAATTACATATGACAATTTTGATCACTAGATCATATCAGAGTTGAAATACAAAAATATGTCTAATTTCCTGGAATTTATTTCTAATGAAAAACTCTAAAAAAGAAACATAGATAACAGGAAGCGTAAAAGAAGAGAAAGGAAATATGCTTAAAGGGTTTCCAAAATTAAAAGAATCGCATTGAAAAAGGAAGTTCAATGGATTCTTTTTCCCAACAAATCAGCTAATTTCTAATACAAATATTCCTTTAATTCAAGACATCATATCCCCATTTTTCTTGGGAGATAACAAATTTTACTTGAGCAAAATAACAGAGAGAGTCCGAGAACTTACAATAGAAAAAAGCCTTGTGATCCTTCAAAATGAAGCCCAAACACTACCAGAGGTCAGAAATTTTAGTTGGAATTAACAAACCCTAGCTTGTACGAACAACCTGAAAATCTGAGCAACCTTTACCTGGATTCGTATGGGGTTATGGAGAGAGAGAGAGAGTTTTTCTTTGCACAGGGTTTTGCTCGATTTTACAACATGTGGAAAGGGAAATAAAATTTAAAAAATGAAAAACTTTTGAATTTGACTAACGGCTAGTTCTATTCTCGAGGGTACTTACTACGTAACGGACGTACATGTATGTGGCACGAACGTGAAGTATGAGAGACGTGAACCCTAAATAATGTATTTTAGAGACGACATTTGTACAGGCATAAGCCTAGGGCTCTAAACAATCAAATTAGAGCCTGCATTCAAATAGTGTGGAGAATTGTGGTTTCAATAATGAAAATTTTCGTGACAGCTGTAAAATATATTTTCATATTTATTTACAAAGTTTAAAGGTTAAAAAATAGTGTAGATCGATAGGTCGATAAAAACTTGAAAATCTTGAAAATTGACGGTCCAAAAATACATTATAAAATATACTATTTCCAAAACTTGAAATCCATTTTTTTCTCATGTCCATGTATCTTGATGTCGAGATGATCAATTTGAAGATATTTGAACATCAAAACAACCTCTTCTAGTGAAAGTTTTGAGGTAGGTTCAAATTTGATTGTTTAGAGCCTCGGCTCTATATAAACTTTTCCGTAAATAAATAAGGAAAAATTTTATATAGAACCAAGGCTCTAAACAATCAAATTAGAACCTACCTAAAAAATTACACCCACAATCAAATTAGAACCTACCTAAAAAATTACACCCAGAAGAAGTTGTTTTGATGCTCAAATATCCTCCAATTGATCATCTCGACATCAAGATCCATGGACATGAGAAAAAAATGGATTTCAACTTTTGAAAATAGTGTATTTTGTATCGTATTTTTAAACCGTTAATTTTCAAAATTTTCAAGTTTTCATATATCTATCGATCTACACTATTTTTGAAGCTTTAAACTTTATAAATAAAGATAAAAATATATTTTAAGTCTGTCCCAATGATTTTCAGTATTGAAATCAAATTTCTCGATCCTATTTGAAAGTAGGCTTTAATTTATTGTTTAGAGCCTAGGCTTTATACAAACCGCACCATACATATATTACAAATTATGTGTAGTTCACATAAGTAAAGGGAAAAGTTTATATAGAGCTGAGGCTCTAAACAATCAAATTGGAGCACTAGAAGAGGTTGTTTTGATGCCCAAATATCTTGAAATTGATCATCTCGACATCAAGATGCATGGACATGAGAAAAAAATGGATTTTAAGTTTTGAAAATAGTGCATCGTAATGCATTTTTTGACCGTTAATTTTCAAGTTTTTAAAATTTTCATAGATCAGCTCGATCTACACTAATTTTGAAGCTTTAAATTTTATAATTAAAGATGAAAATATATTTTAAGACTATCACGATTTCCAACATTGAAACCACATTTCTCGGATGCTATTTGAAGGTGGGCTCTAATTTGATTGTTTAGAGCCTCGGCTCTATACAAACCGCACCCTAATCCAAATAGGAAAAGTTAATATAGAGTTTTTAAACAATCAAATTAGAGCCCACTTCAAAAATTTCACTAGAAGTGGTTGTTTTAATGCCTATCCTCAAATTGATAACCTCGACATCAATCTAGTTGTTTTGATACCTAAATATCCTCAAATTGATAATCTCGACATCAAGATGCACGGACATGAGAAAAGAATGGATTTCAAGTTTTGAAAATAATGCATTTTGTAACTCATTTTGGACCATCAATTTTCAAGATTTTCATAGATTTGCTTGATCTACATTAGTTTTGAAGCTTTAAATTTTATAATTAGATATAACAATATATTTTAAAGGTATCACAAAGTTTTGAAACATTAAAACCACATTTCTCGGCACTATTTGAAGGTGTGCTTTACTTTGATTGTTTAGAGCCTCGGATCTATACAAACTACACCCAATTTAAATTTACTACATGTAATAACAACAGTAAAGCATCACAAAAAAATAAAATAAAAACAAATAAATAAATAAATTTATTCATCAAAAATTTCTTGCTAAAAGATTTCCTCCTCCCTCGGCAAAGCACGTGGATACTTTTTGGATCTCAAATTTTAGAGAAATAATCTTTACAAGACATATAATAATCGCCTGTAAAAAAATTCCAAAAATAAATTCTATGTACTAGAAAAAACTAATGTCTCAAGATTGAATATAGACCATCCAATTTTTGAAGGCCAAGATCTAAGTCTCACAAAAATTAAATTTTTTCTTAATCATCTAGTAAATATTATGTGTTTCCTAAAATTTTAGACTACGAAAATTCTCCTAAGCAGGTGTTTTGTGTAAAGGAGGAGATGCACAACATCGTCCCTAGGGAGCATAGTATATGTACTCAAATTTCTTATAGTCTAATCCAAGGTTGCATCATAATAACATAAAAAATGACTAAAAATTGTAAGGTTAGATTATTAATTTAAAATAACATTTATTTCTTATTCTATGTAGTTTTATTTTGAATAAAATGATAGGCATTTTCCCAATTAACTTGTGTAAACATGGACAATTTCATATAAGTTGTGTTTTCAAAATTTTCTTTCTTATAATTGTTCATTAGAATAAAAAGAGTGTATATTTCAAATTTTGGATCAAACAAATGGCCATAACATGGTTTTTGAAGATTGTTGTATCATATTACTATACAACCAATGAAATCATTGCCCTATTGTATTAGTATATAAGTGTCTAAAACTTTGTTGAGCACAATTACAAAATACTTCCATATATTATGTATATTTTATATTTATATGTATATTATTTTAGTCAAACAGGTATCTAGAACTTCTTTAACATTCCAACAGGTTATTAAACACGAACACCCATAACTTCTTTATGAGATATTATTTCTTCCCAAAAAAAAAAAAACTTCCAATTTTTAGACACCCAGTTCTTCTTTATGAGATCTTCTTTCTTCCCAACAAAAAAAAAAAAAACCTTCCAATTTTTAGAGAACGTTTACGTTCCAGATAACAAACAAGCCCAAAAGGAAAAGGAATGGTGTTATTCGATTTGTTTATGTTTTCTCTTTCACAGTGATCGTCTTCACATAAACTAGCAGTGGGGTGGGAGAGGGAGAGGGAGAGGGAGACGGAGACGGAGAATGAGGAGGAAAAGAAAAGATAAGAGGGAAAATGCCCTCCCTCTCCCTTTTTTCTTTCATCCCTCTTTTTTATTTTATTTCATCGACTAAGAGCGTTGCAAACAATTCGGTAACAGTTACAAAGGATGTAACCATAACTAATAGAAAGATTAACCAAAAAAAAAAACACTTTAGAGAAGAATTAGGGCTGGAAAGGGCCGTACCTAGGCTGGGCCAGCCCTGGACCTAGGCCGGCCCTATTCCCACGAGGTCTAGTCAGGCCCGGACCTATCTGTATCAGGGCCAAATAAATTTAAAGAAAAACAAGGCAAAAAGTTGAAAAAGTAAAGGCTGGACTGTGCAGGGCCTGCCCAGGCCTTAGTTTTCTGGAGCCAGGCCGACCGGGCTGGAACACCCAACCCATTGCCAGCCCTATTAAGAGAATCAATTCTCTCCCCACTCAAACCATGCATATGAATTTTATCCTTACAAATCAAGACTTACATTAACAAATCAATAGGTCTTGCCTATTTGCACGTTCTTTTGCTGGCACATCTGCTGCCACAATATCCTTCAAACACCAATTAGTTCCCTCTCTTATGCGAACCAGCCACTTATTCAGGAAATTCCATTATAGAAGTTGTAGTGCCAACTCGAATGCAAATTTTCGAATCCCATTTCTTATTGTTTTTCTTTGGTTCTAATGTCAATGATCTTCAACCTTGTCGAATTGCCTGAAGTCTAGTGTTACAATACTATGATTAGTTTAATCTAAAAAAAAATTTATTTTCATATTTGACATCTTATGAAACCATGTCAAATGATTGCCTGTGCAATCTGGTTCTCTAGTCCACAGAAAAGTAGGAAGACATTAGATATTCCAACCTAGAGGTTGAGTTTAAACCCATCAAAAACCAAAACCTAAGGGAAAAAACCGCATGTATAATTGGCAATGAAATAAGGCTCATATAAAGATCCCATAATCGTAGAAACTTATGATGTGATTGTCCTTAAGGAATTAACATATAAAATTTCTGAAGATTGAAATGTAGCAGAGAAACCTGGTAATCAAAGTCCGACATCACTTCTTGAGAGCAGCAGGACAACCACATAAGAAACAAGCCAGTGATTTAAGTATTTCCCCTTCCTTTTCGACTAATCTTTAATAAATCAGCAACCATGTAGAAGAGTTCGTTCTATTAAAGGGTACGCAAGCAAAACTCAACCAATTCCTAATAATGCAAAATTTGGAATCTCCACTGGAATTGATTAACAAGAAGGTTGTCTAATTTTCTTTCCTAATTTTTATTTTTCCCCTCCTCTCTTCATCCACTCATTTCAGCTGTTTCAATCCACAAATAACTCACATATTCACAAAAGCGGAAAACCACAATTACTCGGGATCATCTTGCTCATGTAATACGTAGATAACCCTCCCATGAACTTCAAAGATGCACAAAATTACTATGTAACCTCCTTACATGTTTGTGTCATGTAGTGACAGAACATGCATTCGTTACTAACTAAAATGTCGTAGAGCCCATGAGAAATATGTACATAAAAGTGAGACCTATGAAAGCAATATAGACGAGGAAAGCATAACGGGTGTCAAGGTAGCCGTATCATCATCCAACTGTTGTATGGCTAAGTTTCTTGGATAGTGCCCAGCTGATTTCCAATACAAGGCCTGCATTCGAGTGACCGAACTCAACATATTCCTTAGAGCTGAGTATCTCCTCATGGTACATGACAATGGTTTCCAAGGCTTTATTTTTAAGGGTTTCACTCGAGCATTTCTGTGAGAGCTTGAGAACTTCAAAGACGTTTGATGGTTCAAGAGTTCCAAGGATTTGAAGCTCACATTTCTTCCTAAGGAAAGGGATATCATATTTATCTGAAGCAACCAAAAGTGCATGTGCATGTTTATGGAACTCCTCATCAGGCAATGTACCTCTATAAAGGAATCTTAGCAATGATTTGAGCTCTTGGGAGCTAATACCAGGTAGAGAGATAACCTCCGTAGGTGGTGCTTTACATCCATCAGCTTCCAACATCGTTTTGAAAATGGGAGATCTAGATGCCTATAACAAAGAGAAGTCTTTAATAAAAAATATTGAAAAGTTCACAAATATCCAAATTCTACAATAGTAAATAAAATAAGAAGAAGCAAAAACAATTTAATGTAAATTTCTCCAAGTAAAGCATAACAAAAGAGAGCATAACAACAGAAATCTAATCAAATCCTATAAAAGAAAGCAAGATAATTAGTAAGGGCCTATTCTTCAAGCATAGGTTTCTCTAAGTTCAAGTTGTCTATAATTCAAATTGACATTCATAAAAACCCAAGCAAAAGGTGCATAGAATATGGAAGGTATACATAATCAGTAAGGAGCTAAATGTGCAATGAATAGAAAAGAGAGCATAGAAATAGACCGGTATCAGAAGAAGGAAATATCTCATATAAGAAGAGACCCCTGGTGTCATCTGCCGGCCTGGGATATGAGGGTTAAATCATCTCTGCTATTGATTGATAGAACAGTATGCCCAATTAATCGAAGATATGACCTTCACGCAATCCCGGGTAAAAAGGTGAAGATCCACTTGGGATGCCCTCTCACTAGATCCAGCCTCAAAGAAAAGAGTAATGAGTGAACAGTTATGGGTTTGTATACTATGCTAGCATCTGGGTTTTCTGCAGCTTTCTTGTAGGTCCCAACCTTCTGATGTCAACACTGGAAGGTTGGCACATGTCACACGTCGGCTCAAAGCCCATTGAAATCATTTTTTCATGGACACCAAGTGGAGAAGTGACACGCTCCCACTGTCCTATGATGGCATCTAACGGTTGGGGAAGTGTGACCAAACTGTAGGAAACTCATATAATAGCAAAGAGTTTCCCCTTATTTAATTGATTGCTAACACACATCATGTAAAGAGAAAAGGTGCAAGACAAACACAAAAACTGTTCAGTTGCATCATAATCAACCTCAAGCATTATAAAGAATGTTAACTTCTCACGGGTTCTATTAGAAAACTTCTAGTGGGTTCCAACGCTAGTGTCTGTGGCTCGTACATAATGTATGATTTCCAGTTATAATAAGTATAATTATGACAAACTAACAAAACGGAAGTTTGTTGCACCAAAAGGGTAGTGCAATTACAGTCAGCTTTATCAAGAAAAATAAACTCCCAAGTCTCTATAAGCAGTCCGTGTACTCCAGTGCCAGTTTTAAAACTGGCAGATATAAAACCATCTGATGTCCGCAATGTACCATTTCCTCTGCTCCAAGTCCATCAAGACTATATCCTTGCAAGACATAAACAAGATTAAAGTTCCTCAATGAGCTTTGAGCAGAGGAATGACAGCCCTCAACTGTCCTTTGTTGACATCAGAAGGTTGAAGAACCTGTCTACATCTATCCTGGATATAAACCAATATTTTATTATATTTTCCCACCAGAAAGGACATGTTCTGAATAGTTGACACCTACAATTTTTTAATATAGAACTTAAAACCAAAGAAATAATTCTATGAAGATTTAAGAGAAAACTATCATAGATGGACTCCAGATATTTCTGAGTATACCTGCCCACATGGTGAAATAAATACACGATAACATTTTATCAATTTATCAGAAAACCAATTCAGTCGTATGCCAGGGAGGTCAACAACCGATGCCATTTTACTACTTAGGCAACTGATTGAAAAGTTTAGGGGGAAGGGAAAAGACCTCCGCATGGTATTTATTGATCTAGAGAAAGCTTCTGATCAAGTACCTAGAGATTTGATTTGGTGGGTGTTGAAAAAGAAAGGAGTCTCCACACACTACATTGACTTGGTAAGAGATATGTACGAGGGAGCGCTAACTAGTGTACGAACAACTAGTGGAGAGACGAGTGAGTTTTCAGTGACAATAGAACCACATCAAGGGTCAGCATTGAACCCATACCTCTTTGTCTTAGTTATGAATGACTTAACTAGACACCTACAATATCACATACTGTGGGGCATGTTGTTTGCGGATGACATAGTTTTGATCGTTGAGACCAGAAATGTCGTCAACACAAAGTTAAAACTTTGGAGGGATGCTCTAAAATCTAAAGGTTTTGAAATTAGCCGGACAAAGGAAGAGAATATGGAATGCAATTTAGTAATAATAGGAGTAAAGATGAGGAAGTAGTTAAGATTGATGCCAAGAAATACCAACAAGATAGTACTTTCGATATCTTGGGTCGATAATCCAGGAAAATTGAGAGATTGAGGAAGATGTCACACATAGAATTAGAACTGGGTGGGAAAATTGGAGATATGCAACCGAAGTTTTATGTGATCGCCACATAACAATGAAGTTGATTGACAAGATCTATAGGACAGCTGTGAGACCAGTTTTACTTTATAGGGTGGAATGTTTTTTTTTGGAATGTTTATGGGGTTGAATGTTGGGCGGCCAAAAAACAATATAACCATAAAATGAGTGTAGCTGAGACGAGGATGTTGAGATGGACAAGTGGCAAGATAAATTCGAAATGAATACATTCGAGATAATTTAGGTGTGACACCAATAGGCGATAAGATGAGAGAAAGTAGACTTGGGTAGGTTGGCCATGTATGGTGCAGACCCAGTACAACACCTCTTAGGAGGTGCGCGTTAGTTCAAGTGGAAGGCTCAAAAAAGGCAAGGGGTAGGCTCAAAAAGACATAGTTGGAAGTAATGAAAAAAGATGTGGGGACTTATGGTTTTACTAAGTGTATGACCTTTAATAGAGTAGAATGACAGACCAATATTCATGTAGCCAACCCCAATTAGTTGGGAAAAGGTTTTGATGATGATGATGAAGATAACATTTTATCAATTTCCAACGAGTCAAGTTCTTGTAAATACAATATTATGATTTTCTTCTAGGCTTTCATAATCAAGGCATCAAGACGTCGCTAAAAGATTACAAATTTAACTCCTCACAAATCCACTTTGCATTTGATTTGATTAGACCATATTACAAAGTGCCAAAACATATTGGAGGAAAAGTTACAACTTTCAAAGCATTTAAGTTTTGCTGAGGTGCAAAACTGGAACATGCCTTCTGACATGTTCTGCCACCTAGATAGTCATATGCATCTTTAAAAAGTGGATGGATGGAATATTAAATTACAAGTGTTATGATAATTATTATGAACACCTTCCTTTGTAACGGATAATTTACTAAATGGACTTCAAATAGTGGATATTGAGTCAACCACTTAACCACTGAGCTAAGCCCAATAACTATGATTTCCATAGCAACTTTTGTTGGGATACTTGTGAAATCTCATGACAGACAATTCCAAACTTTTATATAAGAATAAAGGCTTGAATTTTTTCATTAGCAAATACCTTTTCAGGTAAGTTTGCAACAAAAATTGCATATGCTTTGGTGTACCAAGCATGGTGGTTAAGGGTTATGCACATGGTCCAGTTTAACAAGCAACAACTGAAAAGTAATTACATTTCAGAGATCTAATTGAAATAATTACCAGGACTGCCTTGTGTGCAAATATAGCAGGGCCATCGTCAGGCTTCAATGAAATATCGGTGTGAATCCTATTTTCAAAAGCAAAACTTATATCCTCCAAAAACCCAAGTCTTTCATTAGAATGATCCCATTTTTCCTTAAGTACCTTCAACCAACACAAAGCCGAGGAAAGCCCCTGCAAAAAGAATTGTTTCAATAAATAAATAACATAATCTGAAAAGATCAGTGCCAGATCTTTGTTCAACATAACTTAAAAGATAATGAAGTAACTTCTCCAAGAGAGTCTTAAAAAACAGAATACATTCCACGTTCTCAGTCTGAAAAAGGTTTTCAAAACCACGGAAAGAAACCAAATTAAAGTGTCTCTAACCTGGTTAGATTTTTCTTTTGCTTGATACAGTCAAGATGATAATCAAGACCATGTTTTTGTTCAGTTTCCCATAATTACAAGCCTACAGCTTTTTAGGTGGAAACATTCCACACAATCCTTTTTTTTTTTTTGTTTTTAGCGAATCAGTGGGGATGAGGGGAGGGGACCCTGACCCTACCTGTAACGGGATATCAACAACATATGATAGGGATTTCCATCTCCCTTGCTAAATGCCCATCTAATTTTTTGATGGGTGGACACACCCAAAACGTCCCTTGTTCACATCGGATGGTTGGGTAAGTGCTAGCAGACTGTAGAAATCCTAGAAGGTGCTTTCCCTTGTTAAAAAGAGTCATATCTCCCGGATTCATAAACATCAGCCTTCCCTCCCTCTCGTGCAAGTGTGAAATGTACTTACCTTAGGCGGGAGAGTAACAAGAGGTGGTTTTTCTGGGTTTTTATCAAGCTCTTGGAGGAAGTCCATCAACTTGTTTGCCCCATCTTTGCAGCTGCTGCACAGGCCTCCGGTGCTAGTGTTGGACATGACAGGGTTAAACCCGTAGTGAGGGCTCAGGTAAGTGTTGTCACTGCTGCCGCACACAAAGCAAGGCATTTTTGGTTGTCTTCTTTGCCCCACAAAAGCTTCAAATGTTGATGGCCATCTGTTGTTAAAGAACTAGCATTAGAAACATGACACGCACATTGCTACTTTCGTTTAATAAATATATTGATGACATTCTAACCGTTATAGGAAAATTTATTTGCATACATCTATTATTATATGAGACAAATGGTTATAGTTACAATGTTTAGAAAATTTTATAACTCACTAGATGCGCATATGCACTAAAAAATTCATAATTTTTAAGCTGATGAGGAATAGAAATTTGTTTCGGTATTTCCCAAATTCAGGCACCAAACTAATGCATGTTAGATCATTACTTGCAATTTCTTGGTTAATCTTAAAGGAAAGAGTTTATATATGGTTGACACCTTAAAATGTAGAATTAAGGTGCATCTCTAAAATCCTTTGGAAAAGGTTGTTTTGATGTTGGAAAAACATCTAATTTATCATCTCGAGATCAATATATATAGAGATGGAAAAAAAAGATACTAAGTCCTAAAAATATTGCATCTCGCAACACATTATATGGACCATCTATTTTCAAGATTTTCATGCGTCTATAGATCTGTTTGATTTGAACCATTTTTATAATAGATATAAAAAATGATTCCCGCACTATCCTAAGATTTTTTTCACCAAAATTACATCTCATGACAAAGTTTGGAGGTGCACCTTAATTTGATTGTTTAAGGTTGCAACCTTATACAGACCACACCCAATTCTAAATGTGGTAAGAAAAACTCTTAAAGGATCTCAACTTTGAGGATTACAATTATTTTGGAGATTATGAATTATAGGCATCTCGTTTTAGGAGTCCCACATACAATTATTTCTACAGTATAAATGACTTCAAAGTCCAAGATTTACAATATTTTCAAACAATTACCATTGCCAGAATTCTTTTCCATATTTTATGCTCCCTTGTGGAAATGAAACAACCAAAACCCAAATGGTGCCAAACCAAAACCTACATGGTGCTAAACACATTTATCATATGTAGACATCTCTCAGAGATATCCCACATGCTCAAATTTTACTTAAAATCCGTAATGAGAATCATTGAAATCTGAAGGAACTGCCTTTTCAGTATTAAGTATAAACACAACAAATTTCCAGTAAAGATAGAAGCATAGAAAGAAAACATCTCTCTAATTTCTTATTTCATTCTTGATTTGTTCATAATTGACATAAATCTCCCATAATTATAAGAACATTAATGATAAAGTAAAAGCTCATATATCTTCCACTGTGGTTCGACAAAAAGATAGACAATCAATAAACTGATAAACTAATAATAATTATTAGATTACACACTGCCAGATTGAAAAATCAATATTGCTTCTCCTAAATATGATTTTAGTAAAAAGTAACACAAATACAGAATCTTCAGACATCAATAGTTATTGCAGTAGAAAGCGCTCATTTTAACATGTGGGATTTAGTCCTGATTACAACATAAAACACAAAATATGAGTACCCAAAGGTCACAAAGAGGATACATAGGCATCACACCAAGAGTGCATTTCTACTCAATAAGTATGAGGGAAAATATTTCTGCCCAATTTCCCAATCATGCATTTGTTCTTATTGTTAATGAATATTCAAGCACACAATGGACGGTCACGCCTTCATGTTTGTAGGGATTGTAGCTAATTTTCCCTAAATACCTAGCCACAGTGGCAACTTTAAGAAATATACTATCTACTTATAAATCGGAAAGGGAGAAATCAGAAGGAAGAGTAATGTGTCAAAAATAAACCACAGCCTTTTTGGCCCATGTATGTGTGTCTACATACTTTCAATTATGCTGAGATCAAATTCCAACAAATCAAACTCAAAACAGAAATTAGAATATAAACTCAAAATATAATGCACAATAGAACTCTGCTCAGGAATCAGGATTGAAAGGGAAGAACGAAAAAATACACCGGAAAATGGCGATGAAGAATAATCAAGATAATGAAGAATACAGTGAAAAGATCGAAAGATGAGATTAGTTGGTAAGCATGAAGATAACCCAGCAATGCCTCAGTTTTACTTCCACTAGAAGAGGAGTAGTAGTGGTTCCTTCAACTCTTGAGTAGCCCTACTCTAAAAACCCATAAAAAGGTCACAGTATGTAAAAAGCGAGACTCCTTCAAGCGGACTACTGAGGTGCAATATTGGGCCGGTCCTAGTCCGGGCCAGCCAAGCCTATGCCAAAGGGGCCTCGTCTTACCCAATAGAGTCAGTCAAAGGAGAAATAAAAAGACCAAAATAGGGCCTCACCCTAACGGGGTGTGGCCTTGGCCTGGTGGTCGCCCAGGCCTAGGCCACTGGTCCGGTCCGAACTCTGCTTCTTTAGGGTCCTTATCATGTGTGGACTTGGCCTGATTGTCGCCCAAGCCTAGGCCACTGGTCCGGTCCGGTCCGGACTCTGCTTCTTTAGGGTCATTGTCATCCTTTCAAAGGTCTAGATCAAATGCCTTACCAGCTAAGTATATGCACGACCACTAAGCCAACTCGGAATTCGTGGGTATAACGACTTTATACTACTTTAGCTTTATTTTTTTTACAGAATATTTTGGACGTTCACTCCTCTTGTTTTTAATAAAATAAAATTATCAAAATATCTCAAAATTTTTCAAGAGATATTTTTGTTAGTATATTTTATCAAAAAATATTTTTAGTCTTTTTTTTAGGTGCACCCCATTGAGAAGATCGCACATACGAATTTTCATATTCATACATAGGAAAATAGCTAAAAATAAAATACTCTGAAGCGTAGGATCTAAAGCAAACGGTTAGTTGTTTACTTGATCTAAATTGAACGGCTGGATGGGGGAGTATATATCTTCTATGCAGTAGGGGAAGTATAGAAACCTGTCCCAACTTGTTTATGTCTAATAACTCTGATTTCGCGTAGTTCTTGGTGGTTTGAAAAAACAAGGTTTTTAAAAACGAATCAGTGACCTAGATCGGTCACCGCAAGAACAAGGTCAAATCGATAGATTGGCGATCTAGATTGGAGATTGAGCCAGTTTCAATCTCAAAAAAATTTCAAAAAATTATTCAAATTTCTTAAAATTTTAGTTTTTTGGATCTACCATAAAAGCATTAGGTATTGCCTTATGAATTTTCATTATTTGACCAAACATTGGTAAATAATGAGAATATTAAAACTGTGTTCCATGTCTAAGTATTTGTTGACCATTGCATTCATTTCATGGTGAACTGTAGTTTAAAATGCAATCCAACTCAAAACATTTTATTTTTATGTTTTTATAATCTCCATGCCACTTATACTTATAAAGTTAAGGGGTCTTGCCTACTCATTTCATTTATATTTTTTTTTCTAATAATTAATTTATTATTATATTAATTAGTTTAAAATGCAAATTGACTTAAATTTTTTTATTTTTGTGTTTTTATAATCTCTAATGCAGCTTAAGCTTATAAAGAGATGGGGTCTTGTCTACTTATTTATTATTTTTTCTTTTACTAGAAATTAATATATTATATTAATTATTTATTTCTATAATATTTAATCTCTTTAGAGATCTCGTATTCAATTTATCTTTGGAGGTGTTGTTCTTAAGTTATCTTTTTATAGGAGTTATACTCATTTCCATTCATAACAGCCTCATTTGCTCTCCATTGATTATTGTTTTGGATCGTTTTCTTTTTGAAAATATCGTTCTTTTTATTTTAAAAAATATTTGAAGTGATAATCTTACTTGTTCTATTTTAATATGCATGAAATGTTGCATGGGGAAAAAAATGTATTTTTCTTAATTTAAATGAATATAGATTCAATAAAAGTTAAACTACAAAAAAAGTTGGAAAAAAGATGGAGTGTGATAGTGATAATTTTCCTCATTCTTTTTTGAGAGAGAACGATGAAAAAGGAGTCATGCTTGTTTAAAAAAATGAAGGAATAAAACTCAAGATTATCTACAAAGACACCATTTACCTTTTGTTTATGAAAGTCAAAATCATTCTTATCTTTTAAATTTCAAAATGAATAGTTGTAAGAATATCATTGATTAGACACTAGTTTCAAAAACAATTTCTCGTACTTTGTAACTCACTGCAAATCATCCAATTTAACATCTAATAGATAAAAAAAATTGTGATCTCGTAAAAATAAATAAATAACCTCTTTATAGACGATCACCTAAAACTCCTTTCTATTGTGCGCATTTCCTTTAGGTCCTCTTCTTTTGCCATATCGAAGAGAAGCGCACCCAAAGTCTTTAAATGTGAGTCACGTTGCACCTAAGGATGGTGTGTGAGCGTATGGGCCGGTAGAGTACACAAAGGTTTTTAGAGTTAAAAAATTTTGAAATTCAAAATCATATTAAATAAAACATATATAAAAAAAGGGTGAGCTAGCCCCATTTAATGTTGGAGAATTGGTCGTTTATGAAAGAACTGGACAATTCATGATAGAACCGGTTGGTTAAAAAAGGGAACTAATTGGTTCTTGATATTTTGGGGAAACCAGATCAATTTTTCGGTTTCCCCAATTCTCAATTTGGATTGGGTAATTTTGATCTTGACATTTTTTAGAACTTTACGAAATAGAATTTTGTAGGCCCAATTTGGATCTCTAGCCCAATTTGGATCCCTAGAAAAAATTATTGGAAAAAAATTATTTCTTGTAAAATTAATTTCTTCTAAAAAACAATTTTAGTAAAATAGGTTTTTTGTTGTTTGGACAGCCTTTAGATGCACTTTGGATGACATATTCTAATTGTAAAAGGTGTTAAATGAAAGAAATCTTTGAAAGCAAAACTTCTTACAAAGGTTTACTCTATCCAATGATCAAATGCCTTATTAATTAATGCTCATTACTATATTGAGAACTGCTAAGCCAGCTCGGTACTGGTGGTTCTAGGTATAATAACTCCGTGGTTGTTGGTGATTCGAAAACGTAATTTGTATCGTTTATCTCTTAGGCCCATTTAGATCCTTGGAAAAAAAAAATTGAAAAAGAATGCTGTGAAATGTATTTTTTTTAATAGTGAAAAACCCTCCAATTGTTCATCTCGACATTGAGATGTATGAATATAAAAAATATATATTTTGAGTCTCAAAAATAGTGCATCTAGCAACTCATTGTCTAGACCGCCCATTTTCAAGATTTTCATATGTTTATAGATCTACTTGATTTTAACCATTTTTTTTAATTTTAATTTTTATAATTAGATGTAAAAATAGATTTTGAGATAAGGATTTTTTACACCAAAATTGCATGTCATGATAAATTTTGGAAGTGTATCTTAACTTAATTGTTTAAGGTTTTTAAATATATTAACTTTAAAATAGGTTTTTGTTGTTTGGGCAACCTCTAAATGCACTTTAGAGGACATTTTCTGCCTGCTAAAATGAGTTAATTGAAAGAAATATCTAGAGAATAAAACATAATAATCACAAGGGAACATATTCTACATGCGCAAAAGGGTTAAATGAAAAGAATCTGAAAAGAATCTTTAGATAACAAAACACTAAGGAACACATGTATGAAGAAATGAGCAATTGTGTAAATAATCATGTAAATATGCAATAGAGAGTACATAGAATTGGGATGAGCATTCATGTAGAAAATCACATAGATCTGGAATATGCAATAAACATGAGCATCTCTCTCTCTCTCTCTCTAATTTATATATATATATATAT